GAAAGAAAGAAAGAAAGAAAGAAAGAAAGAAAGAAAGAAAGAAAGAAAGAAAGAAGGAAAGAAAGAAGAGAGAGAGAAAGAAGGAAGGAAGGAAGAAAGAAAGAAAGAAGGAAGGAAAGAAAGAAGGAAGGAAGAGAGAGAGAAAGAAAAAAGAAGGAAGAAAGAAAGAAAGAATGGCGGGAGGGAGGAAGGAAGAAGGAAGGAAGAAAAGTGACTTAAGAGAACAGCACAGAGGGAGAGAGACAGTTTTACTGGAAGAGTTTTACAGAGACAGGTTAAAGAGAGAGCAACCTAGACACACATATGAAGACAGAAAGAGCCAGAGAATGAGAAGAAGCCAGAAGATTGGAACAGAGTGCTAGAGTTAATTTGAGGACAAGCAGAGCAATTCAGTTAGAATCTGGAAGAAGCTGGTTTGAATCAGTCAGCTTAGAAAGGGGTTGTTAGTGACTGTCTCTGACATGAACTCATGGGCTGGCTCTTTGACCACCTCTCCCTGAGGGGGAAGCAACCTTACCAAGCCACAGAGGAAGACAATGTAGCCAGTTCTCATGAGACCTGATAAGCTAGTGTCAGATGGAGAGGGAGGAGGACCTCCCCTTTCAGTGGACTTGGAGAGGGGCATGGGAGCAGATGAGGGAGGGAGGGTGGGATTAGGAGGGAATGAGAGAGGGGGTTACAGCTGGGATACACAGTGAATAAACTGTAATTAGTATAAAGATTAAAAAATTAAAAAAAAAAAAAAAGCAAGGAGTCATTGCTGAGAAAAGCTGAGTTGAACCAGCCAGCCAGAGTTCAGAATGAGCTAGAAAAGATGAGCTTGATCAGTAGTATGTCTCAGAGGTGAAAAACATTCTAGGCCTAGATTAATGTACAGAGGCTGGAGGCTTCCAGGACTAGGCCTAGGTTAGCAGATGGAGGCAGCAAGCTTCCGAGATGGCAATTACATCAAGAGAATAAAAAATATTACACCTCTCAGTGGTGGGCAGAGAAGCCTCATTTTGCAGTGGTTTGTGGTTATTGCAGAGACTCCACTGATCAAAGCTCTAAGAATGAGTGACTGTGTTAGGGATCATCCCTGAAAGGGACACCTATATCATTCCCTCCAAGGTTCAGAGGACACTGTGGAAGACGAGCCTCAGAGAGTGTAAGAGCCAGAAGATGGGGAGGAAGGCTCCCTTTTTTTTTTTTTTTTTTTTTTTTTAATTCACTTTACATACTGAACACACACACCTCCCTCCTCCGCTCCTGGTCCCACCCTCCTACTTCTTCACCCTTTCCCTTATCCCCTTCTCCTCAGAAAAGGGGAGACCCCCCCCCAACACCTACTCTGGTACATCCAGTCACACCTCTTCTACCGAGGCCAGACAAGGCATGGAAGGCTGACTTTTGAACATGGGGAGAGTATTGAACTCACTGCTCCGTATTGTCTGTGATCACCTGCCCAGACCTGGATAGGATTGTATGGGTCAACACCGTCGTGCATTTGGAAGAGGCTCATGGAGCCCACTCCTCCCTGAGGAGCTATTGGCAGGCGGTAGTTGCTGGGTGAGGGGGCTGCGTTTCTTTCAGTGGAACAGCTGCTAGCAAGCTGTCAGAGTCCTGGTAAATAATCTTCCACCAATTCCCATGAAAGCAATTCTAATTGAACTCAATAGGTCTCATCTAAACTTGTATAGACATACATATACACAAGGCATGAATGTATTAGGGAGACTAAAAGAAGGCTCAGGGGCCTGGAGAGGTGGCTCAGCAGTTAAGAGCACTGTCTGCTCTTCCAGAGGGCCTGAGTTCAGCTTCCAGCAACCACATGGTGGCTCCCAACCATCTATACTGAGATCTGATGCCCTCTTCTGGCATTCAGGCATACATGCAGGTAGAGCACACATATATAAAGTAAATAAATCTTAAAAAAAAAAAAAAAAAAAAAAAGAGGAGGTTCAGATGCTGGGGGAGAGGCCCAAGTGAAGGTAACAGAATGGACATGATCAAAATA